CCCCCCCCCGCTTGTTTTGAGTCTGTATAAACTCAGAATGAGAAATGCTAAGATGATTGGCTGCGAATTCCTATCCATTTTATAGTTTTGAAAATGTCCTTTGCTTGTAATTGCTGTTTCCATCAGGTCTTTAATAAACATTTTTTCTATGTAATAATCAAGTCATATGTCCTGACGTCCTGCTGGAGTCTCAAGCTTATGACGTCCTTATGTAGCAGACAAATTGTACGCTTATCTTTGGGATAACATTTTTTAAAAAATAAAGACAATTATGGAATGGAATTTCAGGCAGGCCTAATCAGAAGTAAGTTATTCAGTTGAAGGAGGCTGTTGCCCCCCACCCCTCCATAATCAGTCTACTTAGAAATTTAACTTTAATTATACTGCTCTGATATGAGTTCCACATATGGCACTAGTTTTTTTTAAACTGGTTTGCATGTAACATTTTTCTGCATTCTCAGGTAGGTGAAAGATGTGAATAAAATTCTGGAAACATCAACATCAAACTATGAGTTTGTGACAGGCCTCATCCATTTGGCTTAATCCTAACCCAAAAAGTCATCTAGAGAAAAGAATCTAGATCAGCCCCATTAATGACACTGGGACCTATAAATCTAACCAAACAGATAAACAAAGAAACCCAGAACCCAGGATTAACACCTATCTCCCCATTGCACAAACAACAACAACAAAAAATCTGCCTGAGGACCCCTCCACCTCCAAAGATTATGACAACACAGAACCCAGTCATAAGACAAGCCACCTCCCTGACCCTTCGAAGACTCAGCCCAAATTTCTCCCCACTCCCAGCAGGGGTCTATGACAAGTCGCTGCAGCCAACTCACCACTGCCTACTTGCCATGGCTAACTCACCACAGCCAACTTGCCACAGGACAAATTGCTGCGGGACAAGAGTCACACTAATATTAAAGAAATGATGGAGTAAAGAAGGGATGCAAAAAAAAAAAAAAAAAGGGGACAGAATGAAATGTGAATGGCAAAAATTAAAATATATTTTAATTTATTTGAAATAATTATCAAGAAAATAGTTAAATTGTCCTGTGGCAAGTTGGCTGTGGTGAGTTGGCTGCAGCAAGTTGGCCATGGCAAGTTGTCTCATTCCCCCCAGCAGAAAGATAACTGCTTGAGACAAGTGTCCTGTATCTCCCTCCAACTACATCACTAAACCTTTCCCATTGTCTGTAGAAATTTTGACCCTTATATTGCAACAGCTAAATGAAATTGCAGCCAAGGTGGGCAGCTTCCAACAAGTCTTTGATCTGCAGATCCCCCATAGAAACCTGGGAATTAATACTGCAGCAGAAGCTGGCCACAGTCAGCATTCTGGCAGCCTTCTGGCATGCCTGGAGATATTTCTCCAGGCATCCAGAAGTAGTTAATTTAGCCAACCATGTCATGTGCTACAGAAAAAAAGATGACTCCTCCTAGAAATCCATGGGAATACCCACAGATAGAACAACCTCACACTTATTGTGATCTTATTTTAGATACTAAACTACCAAAGCAGAACAATTGGCTTTCACTTGATTTTCACTATCTACCCAGTTTAAGAAACAGCAAATGTATCTTTTAAAGTTTTTTTTTTCTCAGCCCTTTCTCTCTTCCAGATTAATTCAAATGAACAAATTCCTAAGGCGGACTTATCACTTCTGAACCATCAGAGTGTCTTTAAGGAGACTTAGTCAGCAACCTCATCACTAGGAAACTGACAAAATGTCATGAACTTGCAGATAAGATCCATAAAAACACACACTTCCAAAAGCAATAAATCTGCCAAACTTGGCAGCAGCAAAGAGGTTAAGCAAACTTCAAAGGAGGAAGCTATAAACTCAGAACTCATTTATCTGAGGGGGGAAAAAAACCTTGCTGACATCAAAACACTCTTGATGTGACCTCCCAGTGCTGGTAGTGATATGGAAGTCCAGCACAATAATTTAATTCAGTTGCTCAACCTCTAAACTACCTCACGTTATTGCCTCTCCTATGACCAAGACACATAGAAAGCTGTCAGCACATTACACTGATCCATCAATAACAGTGAAAATGACACTGACAGTGACTCCTCTGGAAGTTTTACACCAGCAATTCTCAAGAAACCCATGTAATCCGAAGCAGCTGTTACCCAAAAGAAACAGCTTGTAAATGTAACAACGCTCAGCCAAACAATACAGAAACCCAATCTGGAGATTTAACCTCATCTGCCTCCAAATCTAAGGCACCTCCCCTGGCCTATAGGAACCTGACTCTTAGAAGAAACATGCCCACTTAACACTGGACAACCCACAAAGAATGCTTGGGATTCCTCTTGCCAGTGATCCACATGTTACTGCACATGCTGCACTGATTCTCCCGATGGACATACATTTGGAAGAGAAGAATGTGAAGCCCATTGTGCCACTCCTCTTCCCTCACAGAAGGAGATTCAATCATAGTAGCCTCAACTATCAACTAATATGAACCTTCTACCCTTGCAAAAATCACCTACCCAGTCCCAAGTGCACAGCATCTCCACTTGACATTAAAGCTTTTATTCACCAGCATAATGTCATTCTTTCAACCTAGAATGTGGCTGGATGGTTTATATCCACCAGAGATCTCTGTTTTACTGACTTCCACTCCCACCATGACACCAGATTGCTCCAATATGGCCACCTCATCAAGGCAATTAGAACTGAGAAAGGCATAAAACAAGGCTGCATATTGGCCCCATTCCTAATTCCATATTTATATCAAGTGCATATTGGACCATTTTCTCAACCTGAAGTTTCACTCCCCCAAATTGGCTGGAAGACATATTTCTATTTTGTTTTTGGCAGACAATGTAGCAATGCTCTCAAGAATACCTGTTGACCTAAAAGAGTACTGAGTGCACTAGGGTGCTATTGCAAGGAAGAGCCGTTAGAACTCAAGTATAAGAAAAACAAGATTTGCAAAAAGTACTTGCCAAAGGTCCAAAAATCAACGGAGGATACATGGCCATGAGATTGAGCAGGTATACTGTTTCAAATATCTGGGAAATAGTCCCACATTCTGCCAACAGTAGGAAATCCCATTGAGACAACATCACTGAAAATACACAGATAAGCTCATTTACAACCCTCAAATCCTCCTTAAATTCCTCAAGATACAAGACGGCCACCATATACCAGTAACATTCAAATTATTCGAAGCCAAGCTAACAGCACAACTTCTTTATGATGCCCAGCTGATTCCCTTCTCCAGTTCTGCTCCATTAGAACTTTTTCAGTCTTAATTTCAAAGATTAACCCTTCAAACTCCAAACTATGTCTCTAATGCCACCCTGGGATTAAAACAGACCACATGAAAGTAGAAGCTAGAGTATAGGTGATGACATTCATCTATTGACTCAAATTACCCTTTATTCATCTTGGCCTTGCTCCACTATGAGGGGTGGTTCTCAATTAACATGGAAAAAGACAGTGACAACTAAAATTTAATCCTTGAGCTTCTCTCCAGGCCTTCTGTTTAGTATGCAATATGTTCAGGCCATAGCACTCATTAAACAGTGTTTAGCAGACACAGAGCACCAACTGGACCTGGCCAGGTCTTCAGCCTTTTCTGCCAGTGAACCTAAGAGATGTTCTGTCTCTTTGTGGCATGCTTAACTAATCTTGAAATACCTAACCACCCGAGGGCTTTGCTTTGGCTTGATGTCACATTCTTCTCTTAGCTGTCATTCAAGATTTCCTACCTGGAGAGACAATGCCTCTGTGGCCCTGGGCACATAGAAACAACAGAACATGTAGCTCTCCAGTGTATTAGCCTCATCTTATCATTACTGTATAAATACCCAGGCAGCACAGGACAATTTTGCACTTCCCTGCTGTTCTCATATACCAACCATTCTACAACATGCAGTGTTGCCAGATTCTGTATGGTAACATTTTAAATCCATCTGATGATGGGTGATCTGTGCTGCAAACCAGTTTAATGAGCACCTAGGATGCTCTGTATTATAATCGATTTAGTTTTTCATGTTTGTTCTGTATTCTGTACAGTGGTAGATTTGTCTTCTGTACAGATGCAGATAGATAAACTCAACAAGACGTCCATAACAAAGTACTTTTATTGGTTCATCAGGTATCCTCATAACTCACATTTGTGATGAAGTTCTTCTTTAATGACCAATCCTTTGCATATCTGTCTTGTAGGTAAAAAGATGATTATCTGCTATCCTTTTCCTCTCATCTCGTAGTGGTAGAAATAGAACAGTTACCACGAGTCTGTGAGTTCAGCCAAGAGTGAGGAACCCCCCCCCAACCCATCGAGGGTCAATTTAGTGACCAATCAGGATTACAGATGTGGTCACGTGACATGGACTACATTTCCCAGGATAACTTAACTACATTTACCATGATGCATTCCCTTAAGGGGACAGCTCACAAGTGCTACCAAACTATCCAATTCCCATACACTGACTGGACAGCACAATGTTCTTTTATACCTCCTTTTATATTATTTTTAGAGTTTTGTTTTTATACTTTTTAGCTTTTTTGTATGCAGTCTTTATTCTGTTGTATCTTTTATGCTTTTTAATTTCCTGTACACCACTCTTCTTATGCTGCTTTTTGACTGTAATAAAGTTTGACTTCATTGGATTCAGTCTTCCTGTATGAAGAAAATAGAAATCAAGCACTCAGTTTCAGCAGTGAAGTCAGTCTGCTGAACATTTCCATTAGAAAAATATTCAGTAAATTAAATATGTTCCCAGTTTTATCTTCCTTCCATGTCATATAGCAAGTGAAGGTCTACTTATAAACAGTTGTGTTAAAAAAAAACCTGAGGTCCTTCCAGGGTTGAGGAAATTATTTTTTTACACCAACACCTGTTACTTATTCCTGAAGGCTAGAAACTTGCTATTCTTTTTTGATTTACATAAATTCTAGAGCCTTCTGAGTGTGATCTGCTTTGTTTATTGCTAGCCTTCCTTATATTATTGTCTTACTATTTTCTTCCAGAGAATTTGCTCGTTGGAAAGTCAATAACTTGGCATTAGAAAGAAAAGATTTCTTCAGTTTGCCTTTGCCTCTGGCTCCAGAATTCATCCGCAACATTCGTCTTCTGGGGCGTCGGCCCAGCCTTCAACAGATCACAGAGAACCTGATTAAAAAATACGGGACCCATTTCCTTCTCTCAGCAACTCTTGGAGGTAAATACTAAGCTTTCTGTTCATACATTAAACTCATAATTTTACTCACAGTTTTGAGCTGTATCAGCAAAGACTATATTATATTAAATATATTTCCTGAAGCATTTACATTTACAGTAGACAAAGCCTAACTGTAACAGCTCTTGCAGTTATTTATTATTTATTAAGATGAATATCATTTACTTCTTAAATAAGCTCAGGTGAGACAAAAAGACTCAATAGTAAGTTGCATGGAGTTATTTGGAAGCATTGTGCATAATATGTGGATCTTTTGAATATGTGTTTGGAAGCAGAGTCCCTGCCTTAGGTGGAGTTTATTCTCAATGCACGGGGTTGCAACTCTACGGCTCAATCCAGTTTTAATAATTGTTATGCCAAGCTAAAGCACAGATATGAACAGACCCAGGGTCCAATCAGAAAGATCAGTTGTCTAAATGGCAAGAATATATGAGGATTGCATAGAAACTGTAGTTCATAGTGATAGCCTATAGTGATAGTGCTTCTGTTCTACCTATTGCAGTGTCACATCCTGACAATATCTGTCATTGATCACACAATTGCCTTCCCCATCAGGGTACAACACTTGTCTCCAGGAAAGATGTGTCATGGCTCTGTGTCTTCATAAAATTTTCTCTGCAACCTCCCTCTGTGAGCCACAGTCACAGTCACTGAAGCCTCACAGCCATGTTGGCAAAGATTTCCATCACTGTCATCTCTTTAGAATCAGTTAGAGACAGAAGGATACGAAACATTAGAATAGTCTGAGGCAACTCCAATTTCTATTGCTGTCATCTTTTTAGAATTTTGAGGCAGAAGGATATGCAGCATTACAATATTCCTTTCAGGCGGTCTCCAACTGGTGCCACAACACTCTGTGCTCAAGAATACTCCTCCCCCTGCAGCTGACAGGTCCCTCTTTCCAGCTCAAGAATAGCAATTCAATAGACAGCATTACAGTTATGAAGAAACAGCCCCCTGTTCCAAAGCTATGGTTTGAATAAATTGTACTTCAGAAATGATTTCTCCTGTTATCCGTGCTACTTTTCTCCATTCTCGCCCCCAATAATTTGAGGAGAAGGACTTTAAATTATTAAAGTAAATCATTTTCAGATGAGTGGGTTCTAGAATTTAAAATAATACTTGCAATGATCCAAAGGATCCCCCATAGGTACATCTGTTCATTGCCCCCCAGAATGACCGTCACTCTAGATCGGGGTGTCAAACTCAAGGCCCATGAGTCGGATCCAGCCCACAGGATGCTTAGATCTGGCCTGTGGGGCCACCCTGGAAACAGTGAAGGACCGGCCCTCAGTGCCTCTGACAGCAAAATCGGCCTCCCAACCTCCCGTTTTCAGCTAGGACAGCCTCCTGCAAGCCTCTGTCAGTGAAAACAGAGCTCAGGAGGGTCGCATGCTCTGACCCAGCTGAAAATGGAGATTGGGAGCCCGTTTTTTCTGGTAGAGCACTTATGCCACCACAAATGCCCCTGACACAAGTGACGTTAAGCTGGCCACACCCACCCTGGCATGCCTCCCCCCTCCCCCCGAGGTCAAACACAATCCTGATGCGGCCCTTAATGAAATCGAGTTTGACACCCCTGCTCTAGATGGTCACTTAAAGGCTTCATGGCTCCAGTTGGAATGTGCATGACAACTAAGTAAGGTTGTCTAATATAAACTAAGGGAAACTTGGTTTTTAATGTATTAAAAATGTGTTTGTGGTGATGGGGGAGAAGGAGTTTAAAACATTAAGCCACCTTGTACATACTGAAATTGAAAATAACAACATGAAGTCAGTTGGGTAACTTTGAGCCAGTCACTCATTCTCAGCCATAGTAAACAGGCAATAACAATAGCAGAGTATAGACTTACAATGTCAGCATGTTGCCCCCCAACAATCTTGGTTCTCATTTTACCGACCTCAGAAGAATGGGAGGCTGAGTCAACCTTGAACCCCATCAGGATCGAACTCCAGACAGTGAGCAGAATTTTCCTGCAATACTGCATTCTAACGACTGCACAGTCAGGGCTCTCTGGGAATGGCAAACCCTTTCTGAAATCTTCCCACAAAAACTGTAGGTATTTCTCAACACTGAGTGGAAGGCACCTAAGTAAGTGAATGAATGAATGAATGAATGAATGAATGAATGATCCAGTGTTTTATCCATATAACATTCACTCCTCCCAATAATTTTTCTGGCCTGTGGGAAGATTTCCATAAATTTCTCTCCCCCATCCCCTTCCAATTGCTAATGTATAAAGAGCTAAAAAGAGAGTTGTAGGTTTGGACAAGATGTAGTTTTCTATCCAAAAATAGCTTTGAGGAGAGTGAAGATACATGGCCACTTCCTCAAAAGAAAAATAATTAATTCTAGCTTAAGGCTGTGTATAGCATGGTGGTCAGGAGAACTGCTGTAGAAAGCAGTAGGTGAAGCAGTTCACACTTTTCTCTAAGGATTTATCATACTAGGATTTATTGGTGTGGAGGATTTGTTATTGATTAAAGCCATAGTTCAAAGAAGAACTTAAAGCAGCAATATGGATTTTTTAAAAATCCATAAGTCACATCTAGTATTAGCAACAGAACAAGCTTGCCAAGAGTCTAAAAGACAATTAGTGATATTCCACTATGTGAGTGATTGCTTGGTTTAAATAATACCTTTTCCATTGCCAGATTAACATCATTTCCCCCCTTTTGCTCACATTAACCATCCCTTTTAATGCTGTGGTGAGCCAAAGATTTCAAGGACTGGGGCAACTGAGTTTTTGTGTGCCATGTAAAATAATTCTCTGTTATTACTGAATCTGACTCTACTATGTAGTAAGACATTTCACAGAAGCAGAAGATCTTAGAATAGAGTTGGAAGAGACCTTGAAGGTCTTCTAGTCCAACCCCTTGCTCAAGCAGGAGACCCTATACCATTTCAGACAAGTGGCTGTCCAGTCTCTTCTTAAAAACCTCCAGTGATGAAACACCCACAACTTCTGAAGGCAAGCTGTTCATTTTTAAGGCTCATGTTTAAGTGATCATCCAATAGGACTGAAGGTCCCTCTCACAGATACTGTTTTTGAGCCAGGTTTCACTTAATCTGTACATGTACCTTTGGTTTTTCCTGCCTAGGTGTAACTTTAGTTATACTTTAGTTGCTTCTCAATAAAAAATGATTGCAACAGACATTCTAATAGAGGTATTTTGGCTAATGCTGAAAGTCATGCCGGGTATTCTATTTCTCAAAGAGGCTTCCTGTGGGTTAAAAGTTGATCCATTTTTATTTGTAACTCCAAGGATTTTGGTCCAAGAAAGAAACTGCAAAGTGATTGAGTGTGATAATTGAAGAAGAGTCAGAATTTTCCACCTCCACAAATGCTGTTGACAATTCAAAGGCACATTAGATGCTAATGTCTGATAGGAAAGTTTCAAATCAAGATAACCTGTATTCCTGAGAGTAGACACCAGATTCATTATAAAAGAATCCTACATTTCTATCTCTGTTGTTTGAAATATAATTAAAAAATAAAACCACCTTAACCAACCTTATATAAATTAAAATCTGTTATTTAAACAAACACAAAAATGTTAATTTTTCAATTTAAAATGTTTGTGAAAAGACAATAAAGAGATCCCTTTCTTGAGTTTTACTTCCTCAGAGAAGAAATCCTACACTATGGGGACAATCAGAGTTGGCTCCAATGGTGGGATTCAAAACAATATACCACCAGTTCTGTGGGTGTGGCTTGGTGGGCGTGGCATGGCTTGGTAGGCATGACAGGGGAAGGTTACTGCAAAAACCCATTTCCTGCCCATCCCACTAACCTGCTTTCCAGCTCTGTTCTCCTGTGCAGGGCAACAAAAGAAGACCCAGCCAATCAGCTGGGACTTGGGAGGCAGAGAATAGATGGGAGTGGGGCCAGTCAGAGGTGGTATTTGCCGGTTCTCTGAACTACTCAAAATTTCCGCTACCAGTTCTCCAGAACTGGTGAGAACCTGCTGAATACCACCTCTGGTTGGCTCCCAATTCTTAAGGTTTGTTGCAAATGTAGAATAGACTGTTAGATCTTTTGGTGGTGCAATGGCTCAGCAATTAAGAAGCTGAGCTTGTTGGCTGGAAAGCTAACAGCCTGGATTTGAAATGCAATGGGGTGAGCTCCCATTCTTACTCCTGCTCCTACCAGCTAGCAGTTTGAAAGAATGCAAATCCCAAGTAGATAAATAGGTACCACTTTAATGGGAGGATTACAGCATTCTGTTTTTTTGCTTCATGCTCTATGCTGTGGCATGATGTCATGCTGGCCACATGACTGTGGAAACATCTTCGGACCATGCTGGGTCCCTCGGAAATTGAGATGAGCACCACTCCCTAGAGTCGGATACAGCTGCATAGGGGAAACTTTTATCTTTATTAGATTTATTTATTAGATTAGACTTGTTACAGAAAATACATTCATTAAAATATGAAATTCCCAGGCTTGGAAAGCTTTAAATTAAATTGTATTTGAAATATGGCTATCAGATTTGGACTACAAAAATTTTGACAATTTTTAGATGGCAACAAAAATACTGAAAACAATTTGTTGTCCAGAATTTATCTGGGTTTTTCTAGCTCAATCTGGTAAACCTAATCTGAAAGTGAATAGGCAATTAAGGCAATGATGCTAAACAGGTTGTTTTGATTTGCATTTTCCATAATTTTCTAGAAGATAGGCTATAATATTTTGGGTTCTTGAGTTTATAGTATCACCTGCAAAGAACCAGAAATGACAAATGAGCTGAACTTTATGGTATCTTTATGGTGTCTAGAAGAGCTGCATTGGCACAGTGGTTAGAATGCAGTACTGCAGGCTATTTCTGCTGGCTGCCAGCAGTTTGGCAGCTGGAGTCTCACTGATTCAAGGTTGATTCAGCCTTCCATCCTTCTGAAGTCAGTAAAATGAGGGCCCAGATTGTTGGGGGCAATTTGCTGACTCTGTAAATTGCTTAGAGAGGGATGCGAAGTGGTATATAAGTCTAAGTCAGTGGTTCCCAAAGTGGGCGGTACCACCTGTCAGCTTCCATTGGAACATGATGAAACTTCACCAATAAACTACTTTACTCACATTCTGTTTATGGCAAGACTTGTTTATTGTGGTCTGTTTCCTCCAAAACTCAGCAACAAACGGTAATTCCCGAGCAAAGCCAGTGCTGAGAGCATCTGCCTCTCAGCGCTGTTTATAGTCCTTTTCCCTTAATTATCTAACATCTGCCCCTAGCTACCTTGCATGCCCCCACCCTGTGAAACTATCTCCAAGCTAAGCCCCGTGCCGAGCCCCATCCCACCCCGCCATACATGCTGCCAATCCCAGAGTAACCCCAAAAGCTGCCAGTACGAAACATCTCCCGCCTGGTGGCACTGGAAAGAGGGAGGAATGCCCCCCGCCCAACAGCTGACAAGTCCATTCGAGAGCGGATGGTGTGCCCGAAGGAACGCCCACCGCCAAACAGCTGATGGGTCCATTCGAAGGCGGGCGGCGGCGTGCCCAAAGGAACGCACACCGCCAAACAACTGACGAGTCCATGCAAAGCTCCCCAGCTGGTCGTGCCGACACGAGGCAAGGCGGGATCATCAAGACCATTCAGGGTAATGTGTCGGTCCGTGTGAAGCTTCCCAGCTGGTTGGCACGAGGCAAGGCGTTGTGGCTGGGGCGTCTGGACCCGGGACCATCAGGAACCGCTAGGGTAATGTGTCAGGCGATATTGGCGGCATGGTTGGAGCCCGACATGCGGCCCCCTCTACCATGTGTCTCTCTGCAATAAATAATAGGCAATTATTATCTTGTATATACGGTTTCCCCCTCCCCACCTGCTTTTATGGTATGTGTATTTTGGTTCCACGCCAGGCAATATCATGTTTCATCTCTATTTGAGTTTTATTTTGTGTTAACCACTCATCAACTCCAGGCCACTATTTAACTTTCCAGTCTAATGTTTGTTCCATCGATTGGGGCTTTCCCCCTTTAGGAACATAGCTTAGGATCACTCAGCTGCACATCTCTGGTTGTTTTTTGTCTCACAGCTGGCTGCGCTGCCCCTGGGATAGACTCCTTCTTCTCCCTCATATACTCCTGTTTCTGCTTCTTCTTACTGCTGTCTTCACCATTCCCAGACTCCTCCTTCTCTACCCATTCTTTGTCTTTATCTTCTGCCATTATGCTCCAATAGCAGCCTCAATAATGTGAAAGGTGGTTTTCAGAGCGCTGGCTTTCTGTCAGCTTCCGTTGGGACACGATGAAACTTCACCAAACTTTACTCATGTTCTGTTTGTGGCAAGATTTATTTATTGTGGTCTGTTTGCTCCAACACTCAGCAACAAACGGTAAATCCCGAGCAAAGCCAGCGCTGAGAGCATCTGCTTCTCAGCGCTGTTTATAGTCCTTTTCCTTTAATTATCTAACATCTGCCCCTGGAAATGCTTAATTATCCAACATCCGCCCCTAGCTACCTTGCACACCCCCACCCCGCAAAACTATCTCTAAGCTAAGCCCCCTGCTGAGCCCCATCCCACCCCGCCATTCGTGCCACCAATCCCAGAGTAACCGCAAAAGCTGCCAGTGCGAAACGCCTCCCGCCTGGTGGCACTGAAAAGAGGAACGCCCAGCACCCAACGGCTGACAGGTCCATTCGAGAGTGGGCGGTGTGCCCGAAGGAACGCACACCGCCAAACAGCTGATGAGTCCATGCAAAGCTCCCCAGCTGGTTGCGCCAACATGAGGCAAGGCGGGATCATCAGGACCATTCAGGGTAATGTGTCAGTTCATGTGAAGCTTCTCAGCTGGTGGGCACGAGGCAAGGCATTTCGGCTGGGACGGCTGGACCCGGGACCATCAGGAACCGCTAGGGTAATGTGTCGGGTGATATTGGCGGTGTGGTTGAAGCCTGACACCAACCCCTGGGGGATGGTGGGATGCTTTAGGGGGGCACTAAGAGGCAAGGGGGCTGGCAGAGGGGTGCTAAGAGGCAGCAGTGGGGCGCTGGAGGTGGGCCCCTTGCAGGGTGCAATTCAGGAATGGGATTCTACCAGTTCATTACCATTCCTGGTAGTTTGGAGAACTGGTAAAATGGCCCCCTGGCTGGCCCTGCTCCTCTCCGCCTGCTTCTCTGTTCCCTGCCCAGTCAGTCCTTATTGCACATGCGCAACATCGTGTGCATGCAGAACAATTGCTGACGGCCACAGCGGCACATTGGAGAAGCAGAGCAAGCAAAGCCGGAGGTCGGTAATTTTTGCTACAAAAAGCATCCAGATGCTATGTGGTTTTTTTGGGTGCTGCTGGAGTCCAACCACACCAAAAAGAAACATGCAGTGTCTGGAGGTTTTTTGCAGAAAAAATTACCAACCTCCAGCTTTGCTCTGCTTCTCCAATGTGCCACCAACCACCTCGTTCTAGGCACCAGCCATGCAAGCCCACCACTCTGCTCGGACTTGCTTGGGCAAGTCCCTCCGCTGCAGCAGGCTCAATGGGGTGGACCTGTGGGGCTGGTGTCTAGAATCTGGCCACAGTGGCGTGTTGGAGAAGCAGAGCAAAGCTGGAGGTCGGTAATTTTCGCTACAAAAAATCTGCAGACGCCACATGTTTTTTTTCAGTGCGGCTGCAGTCCATCCGCACAAAAAAAAAAAAAACCCCCACTCAGTGGCTCTAGGCATTTGTGACAAGGGCGACATGGGCTGGAGGGGAGCCCAGCTACAACAATGGCTCAGCCCTGGTTTGATTTCCCTGGCAGCCAGCCACGGGAGGAAGATGACGAAAGAGGTGGTCGTGTGGGAGGAAATGGGAAGATTAAGGGCCCGGGCCTCTGAAAGGGGAAACAGGGTGATGGAGGATTAGTCCAGAACTTTGACAGATTAGGCCATGCCTGCCTGGGCAGAAAACAGATAGAGGTTAAGGAAGGGATAGAGAGAGAGAGGGAAAGAGAGAGAAAGAGAGAGAAAAGAGAAAGAGAGAGGGAATGAGAGAGAAAAAAGAAAGAGGGAGGGAGGAGAAAGTGAA